TCAAAGTCGTTGAGCCTCTGTTTAGAGGTGCTTTGGTCAAAAATAAAAATTAAAATAAAAAAACAAAAAAAAAATCAAAAAATGAAAATGTTGAGTTGAGTCTTGATTGGGTGTCTACGTTTTTGCGTAATTTTTGTTTCACAAAAAATACGCAAAGAGGGGCAGCTGTAGACACCCAATTTGGTTCAGGCCCGAATCAATTGGGCCTGATCCAAATGGGTAAGTCCAATTTTATTTTGCATTTTTGTTTTTTTTATTTTATTCTTATTTTATATTTTATGTATATATTTTTCTTTATATCCTATGTATTTATTATTTATTTATTTATTATTATTTATTAATATATATTTATTTTATTTTTTCTTTTTTTCATTTTATTTTGTATGTATTTTTATTTATCTAATTATATATTTATTTATCTGTTATTATTATTATTATTATTTATCTTATAATATTATTTTTGATTTATCTTATTATTATTTTTCTAATTATCTTTTTTTTATGTGATTTTTATTTTGGAAGGCTGAGAATGATCAGAGTCCAGATTGAATCCTGTTGAAGAATCTTGCTGAGAATGAGGATTCAATCAGAGTCCAGATTGGATTCAAAGATTGAATCTCCGTCCAAAAAGGAATAGGAATTGATCAGAAACTCTTCTGATCAATCCCTATAAAAGGGACCTCCTGAAATAGAACAGAACACACAAAAAATAGGGAGCAAAAGGCTACTGATTTGAGAGAAAAGAGGCGTATAAAAGAGTTTTTGAAGGCTAAAAGAAGGTTGAGAAGTGTTAGAATAGCTGTGGGAATCGGAAATAATCTTTTTAGAGATTTTTGGCGAAATTTTTTTTGAAAATTTTTGGAAAATTTTCAGATTCCGGTGATTTTTCCAGTGAAGATTGAATTTTTCGACGACGATTTCGGCCAACTTTGAAGTTTTCGGCGAGCTGCCCAATTTCTGACGAAAGATCCCAGAAACCGACCAATTTTTCGATGAACTTCCGATGAAAAATCCAGATTTTGACGAAAAAATTCAGAATCCGGTGAACATTCAACTGGAGTTCTTCGGCCTTTTAGAGATAAGCGAGAGGAAAAAGAAAAAAGAAAGAGAGAGGGGAGAAGGTTTCTATCGAAAAATAGAGGGAAGAGCCTTATGTACTCTCTCAAAACGACGTCGTTTTTGCGTTAAGTGACCTAGAGGATCCGCGCATTTTACCGAGATCCGACCCGACCCAAGCGTCGACCCGCTTCCTGACCCACGCTTGTCTCCCCCCTCCGAGCCGATAGCTGAGCCAAGCCGAGGTCCCAAGCCGCTTCTTCGAGCCGTTTTCTCTTCCTTGAGCCGAACTGAGCCAGCCGTACTCTGAGCCGTCCAGGTTTTTTTTTTTGAATTTATTTATTAGATTAGGTTTATTTAATATTCTTTTTACCTTTATTTTATTTTTTTATTTTTGTTTTACTTTTTCTTATTTTATTTTTTTAATTTTCACTTTTATTTTGGTTTTATTATTTTATTTTTTTTAAATAAAAATCAAAAAAATATTTTTGAGGAAAAGTTGAAAGTATCAATTTTTCTTAAAAATAAAATTTCAAAAAAAAAAAGTTTTTGGGGAAAAGTTGAAAGTATCAATTTTCCTTAAAAATAAAATTTCAAAAAAAATATTTTTGAGGAAAAGTTGAAAGTATCAATTTTCTTTAAAAAAAAAATTTCAAAAAAAGGGTTTTTGAGGAAAAGTTGAAAGTATTAATTTTCTTTGAAAATTAAATTTTTCAAAAAATAATTTTGGGAAAAAGTTGAAAGTATCAATTTTCTTTAAAAATAAATTTTCAAAAAATATTTTTGAAAAAAAGTTGAAAGTATCAATTTTCTCTGCACAAGAACAATCATCATTTCCTTCCCTTTTACTTTGATTTTCATTTTTATTTTTTCTTTAAATAATCCGACGACGGAGCCTCTGCAAGTGAAACAGTAATTTTTCTTGCATACTCTTGAGGTAAAGAATTTTCTCAATTTTCTGCTAAAAGTATTAGAGTCAATTGAGAATAATTTTTAATAATTAATTACTCGATAAAATTTTAAGGTTTATTGGATAACACAAATTTAAGTTGGTACCATCTTTTGATGGGCGTTGTGAGGGTGCTATAACCTTTTTAACACGTAACCGAACTCCCGAATCCTGTTCTGGTTAGTAGATTTGAACATATTTTTTTAGGGACTCTTAAACTTAGGTGTTCCCTGAAAGTACAGATTCCTTAGGTGACCAATCGTATCTAGATAAAAAAAGATTGATGACGACTCTCTAAAAATCAATATCTAGCGATAGATCCCAAATCTAGAATTATGACATATAGTACAACTTATAGTTTTTTTTTTTTTTAAATCTAAAATTTTGCAGGTCGATCCTCTCCCGATTATTCCTTCTCCAGCCCCATCGCCAACACCTCCTCCCCAGTCCACCGTCGCCGGCGTGCCCGCCGCCACTCCTCCACGGCAACTCCACCTCTTCGCTTCGCTAATTCATCATCTACCCCTACCCCATCCCGTTCCACCATGCGTGGTCGCCTCCCAACCATGTCCCATATTCCCGCCGCTGCCACTCCATCCTCCACCGACGATTTCCCACCACCGTCATCCAATGGCGGCGACAATATGGACGAGGCGACCCATGCCTTCGTTTGGGGTACCAATACTAGCGTCCAAGACGTTAAAAATGTCATCCAAATCCAAATGTTCATCAAACATTTCAGGGAAACCCAGGAGTTAAGCAATGATATCCATGGAGAAGGAAAGTATACGCGATTGATACATCGAGTGCTTGAAATAGAAGGACAGTGGATTGACGTTGATACTTATGATGTTTTTAATTATGACTCTGATTTGTATAATAAAATGGTGAGGTATCCCCTGGAGGTTTCAGCGATTTTCGATATCGTTTTGATGGACATCGTTAGTTCGATTAATCCTTTGTTTGATAAACCCGTGCAAGTTCGAATTCATAATCTTAAGAGCTCTACTTCCATAAGAAATCTCAACCCATTGGTCAGTTTTCCTTTCTTTTCCCTAAATTGTTTTTATTATTTTTTTGTGCGTTGGTTGATTTTGGGTTTGTTTATATAGATATTGAGAAGATGGTTTCGTTGAAGGGGATGGTTATTCCATGTAGTTCCATATTTCCTGAGATTAGGGAAGCAATGTTCTGGTGTATCGTTTGTGGGTACCATTCTGATCCTGTTGTTGTTGATAGAGGTAATTGTTGTTGTGATGTTGTTTTTTTTTTTTTTTGGGTTTAATTTTTGGACTTTTGCTGCTAAGGGATATGTTTGTTTGTTGTTGATTTTACAAGGACGAATAACTGAGCCTACGACATGCTCCAGCATAGCGATGGCAGCTTAATCTATCTCTCACAATTCGATCTAACTTCTCAAGATCGATTTTTTTTTTTTTTTCAAATCAGATATCAAGTTAGACCGGGTTGAGATTAGGTTTTAGATGGATTCGATTTAATATATATAATTATTCTTTTAATTATTTATTTACTTTTATATTAATATATAATTTTATATTTATATTAAAAAATATTTTATTAATTTCAAATTAATTCGTATATAAAAAATAAAAAAATCATCGATTGGATCGAATATTATGATCTCAACTCAATCCGTTATCGTCACGACTCCAGCCTCAAAGCAAGAGTGCCTTGCCAAGAACTCTATGACGTTGGTTCACAATCGATGCAGGTAACTGCCAGTTTAAATTTCATTTTGTTTAGCTAAAGCCAATGTAACAAGTGAACTGGAAACATTGGTGTTAGAACATGCTTAATTTTTAATTCTTTGCTATTGCAAAATTTCTTCTCGTTTTGTATGTTATATGTAGGTTTGTAGGATGTTTATACATTATTGAGTTCAATTCAACTTGAGCCTGTTTATATAAGTAGGTTTGGTGACTATGAAATCAAACATTTATGCGTTTGAGTTATTATGAGATCAAAAATAATTGTTTCTATTGCTCGAACACCAGGTTTGCGGATAAGCAGATTGTGAGGCTCCAGGAGACACCAGATGAGATCCCTGAGGAGGGACACCACGCAGTGAGCTTGTTGGTGCATGATAAGTTGGTGGATACCGGAAAACCTGGCGACAGGGTTGAGGTTAAGGTTAGACTCCTATGAAATTAAATATGATAATGATTTGAATATATTATATAATATTATAAAAATTTAAATTTTAATTTAAATTCGAATTAAATTTTTATACTAATCGAATTAAATTTTATCGATTTAATTTTTAATTTTTTATATAATTTTAATATAAAATTATTATTTTTATTTTATAAAAATTAAAAAATATATAATTGTATTCGATTTTTTTAATTTTTTAATTTCAAATTTAATTTGAATTTAATAATATATATTTAATATTTAAATTTGATTTGAATAAAATATAAAATAAATCGATTGGAGTCAAATTGAACATTATAATTTTAAATTAATTTTTTAATTTTTCAATTTTTTTTTCCTCGCTCCAATATGAAATCATGTTCTGTAATCACAAGCTGTATCCTGGCATTTTTATTTGTTTGCTCAATGTTCCTGTTTCTATTGCAATACGTTACTGGGATTTAAAGGGCTACGAGTGTCAGAGTGCAGCCGAGATTTTTGTATAATTAATTAAATAATCAAATTAAAATAATAAATTTTAAACAAAATTTTAAGATTTTTTATTATTAAATCAAAGCTTACGTAATATTTATTAATTTGAATGATAAAGAGTTAAAATTTTTTAAATAAGATTTTAATTTTAAATTTTAAAAATAAAAAAATTTTCAAAAAAAATATTTTTTTAAAAATTCGATTGTTTCAATATAAAATTAATTAAATTTAAAATGATTTTCAAACACTAAAAAATTTCAAACCAAAAAAATACTTACGATCATAAATATTTTTAAAACATAATTTTCAACACCATCCAAGATCTAAATACTTTTAAATATTTCTAAGGTAATACTAAAGAAATTTCTACTACTTATAAACCATTCGGAGGGTATAAATGTTTCAAGCATTCTAAAAAGAAATGAAAAAAAAAAAAAAACTCGAACAGTATCTGGCCAAAAAAGAACTCGAACAGTAAAAGGAAAAGCCTTACGTGGAAGTTTGTGGCGGTAAGGAAGTAGAAGAGGAAGAAATCTCTACGATCTACTACTCTTCCCAGTACGGAAAACACCCGAGAGATCGATCTCCGTGTGCTTTCTCGTGAAAAATTAACAGAATCAAACTGTCTGGAGTCAATGGGAGACGTCAGTGGAGGATGCTGCCCTCCGATGGATCTATTCCGTTCGGACCCGATGCAATTGGTCCATTTCATCATCCCCATGGAGTCGGCTCACCTCACCGTCTCTTGTCTCGGTGACCTCGGCCTCCTCCAATTCAAAAACGTCCTTACGCTGTCTTTTACTCTTAAACACTTCTTATTGCCACTCTTCAATGCTCAATTCTATCGAAAACTTGAATCTCTGTGGTTGAGTTTGATTGTAGTTTGTAAAAAACCTAGACTGGAACAGTGTGCCGAGAATTCTTTGTAGTAGAGATCGGTTTTTCGATTTTTTTTTATGATTTCTAATGCTAGGGTTTTGGTTTTATCCATCAATTTTTCTTTATATTTTATAAGAATCTATTTAAAAAAATGAATTTTTGTGATTTGATGAATCAATTGGTGAAGATTTGGAGACTGATGTCTTACAGCTCAATTCGGAGAAGAGTCCTTTTCAGCGAACTTATGCTGCTCAGTTATTTTCTTTTCTGCTCTTATAGTGACATTGATATATTCACATTTAACGCATCTCGAGTTGCTTCTCATCTTTCTTTTTCTTCTTCTACTTTAAAGAACTATAGGCTTGGGAATTATATGGTAGTAAAATTTAAATTCTTGAATAGCTGGAAAATAAAATTTTCAGTGCCCGAGAAATGTTGACGATAAATAATTCTACAGCACTTAACCAAAAAGAGTTCAACTGAATTTCCAGGATCTCAAAAGATTGATGTTTAACCCTACTGCCTTTCTATTGTAGTGGAAGTAACATACTTCTCCATATGAGCTATGTGAACCGATTTATGATGCCATGTCTTGTTGCCATAATATGCTATTGTTGTTTTCCAAATTTTAGTTTTTAGTCCTTGTTTGTTGACATCTCATCTCATGAAGATTAAAAATATGGAGAGATGGCATGCAAGTTTTGTTGTTTCAAGGAGCAAATGCTAAAATCAGGCTTCTGTTCTAAAACCAAACCAGTGGCATGAGCTGACATTGATGTGGATGACTTAGAGGTACATCATCTATTGCCAAGAAAAGCTTTCTTTATTTTATTCTCGAATTCATTTTTTTTTTCTTTGTTATGTGCTAGGTGAAACTCGGAGGACTTGTGGCAGAGCTGATTGAAATGAATGCAAATGGTGAAAAATTGCAGTGTAGTTATACTAAGCCGGTTGAGTATAAGCTTGTTTTGCAAAATGTATGTCTTTGTTTGCTGTCCTTATCAGGTGACTTTGTCATGGTTCTCTTCCTAGTTCCTACTGACTTTTACATCATGAGAAAGGGTAACATAATTCCGGTTAAAGTTGCCAATTTTTGCAATAAAAGGCTATGTTTGTTTGGATGAGTAAAATATTTCGGAGTCGAGACACTGGTCTATTAATTGGATAGAGTTGATATGTTATGTCAAATTTAATCAGATCATTAATTAATTTAGTGCTGTAGTTTTTATATCATATTGTGTTTGCCTTTTTATAAAATATTCTTAATGGTGTTGAATTGAAATAATAACTGGCTCTCATTGTTCTCTTCCTAGTTCCTATTGATATTTTTACATCATGACAAACAGTAACTAAATATGCCTGTTAAATTTGCTAATTTATGCAATAAAAGGCTATAATATATGTTTGGATAAGTAATAAATTTTGGAGTCAAGAGTCATGACACTGGGCTATTAATTGGATAGAGTCAATAGATACTGTTATTTCATATTCAATCAGATAAATAATTAATTCATTACCGGATTTCTTAAATCTTATCATGTTTTTATTTTTATAAAATATTTTTAATGAAGTTGAATTCAAATATTAACTTGCTCTCATTTCTATGTCAAGTATTTTTTTAATATTTGTCACTCTCTCTACTCTTCCGTAGATATCTATTTTCAAGGCTTAATTTCCAAATTTTAATTTTGGTTTGGCTCAAATATGTTTGGTTGAAATAACACCATTTCAAAATTTTAATTTTGGTTTGAGTTTCAAAAAGAGCAAGTCTTTGATGAGCCTCATTTTGTGCATGCACAACCCATGTGATTGTATAAACTTATTAAAAAAAACCATGAGGATAAGTTATCTTTTCTGCCTTTTGCCAATGATAACAGTCAAGAGTGTTCTTTGACACAAATATCTGCTCTTCATGAATAAATTTCTCTGTGCCTTCAAACATGTTCCATGAGAGTCATTTACACATTTCTACTTATGTTCTTTTGTTTATTTTGTATTAATGTTATCTTATTTTAGTAAAGCCTCACTGCAAACTGTGCCCTGTTTGTTTTCTTTTTGCAGTCTTGCTCACTCAGTGTTGTCAGTTGTGTTCTATGAGAAGGTTCTTCTCCTTGCTTGGGGTTAACTGTTGCACATTTATCTGAGCAAAACAAATCTAGGCATTTAATATTTTATGATATTGCTCTTATGACTCATTCCATTTCTTATTCTTTTTAATTCAATGAGTTATTTGAGTTCATATATCCAAGTCCAAACTTCAGGGGCATGTATACATGCATGATGATGTTATGCTTTTTGCTTGCTACAGGTTTAACAATACAATCATTCTCATTGTCGGCATCATTGTCTTTATTTTTGCAACCGTTTGTGTGTTGCTAATCATGGAAACCCTTGGTGCTTTCCTACATGCTTTGCAACTTCACTGGGTTGAATTCCAGAATAAATTCTACGAAGGAGATGGTTACAAGTACTATCCATTTTCATTTGCATCAATAGATAATGAGGGTGATTGATGCACTGAATTGAAGGTAAGAAGTTGTGTTGCTGTTTTCATTTGAAGATGATGAGAAATCAATTTAGATGCACCCTGTAGGGGGAGTAGAGGAAAGCTTTCTACAGCCTGAGCACTGCCTCTTTACCTTCTGGTTCGGTGGTTGTTATTGGGAGGTATCTTCAAATGTCGTAGCATTTTTCTATTTAATTTAATTTATTTTTCTATTTAAATATAGTAAAATTTTATTTCTAACTCATTTTTTATGATAGATTAAAGGAAGGTGAACTGAGGATGTAAGAAGAAAACTTCACGAAAAAGGTAAATTAAACTTGCTCTGATAACATTTCAGTTGTTTTAACACAGTTCAGAAACATAACAAATTTAAAGCTTATCCATATAATTGTAACAAGATCTATACAAACAACTGGTGTTACGAACAACTAGCACCCTACTGAGAGTTGGTGTTAACAGCAGCAACAGTTGATACCATAGAGTCTACGCCACAAATATTGCGACCTCTGCAGATTTTGTAGAATCCATTCTCTCCCCAGTTTTCTCCCCATGAGTTCTTAATGATCCAGTATGGTTTATCCTTCATGCGGACTGGTGCATAGCCAGCAGAACCATATCCCACCAACAATACTCCATGATCAAGGCGCTTTGAGCAAATGTAAGGGCAAGAAACTCGCCCAATGTATGTCTGCATGAACACTGCATTGATAGCCACTGCATTCAGACAACGAAACAGATATTGCCAAACAAACGATGTTAGTAGGTAAGAAGAGGAAAATAAAAATTAAAATTACTATGAATTCTATATTCATTTACCTGCAAGAGGACCATTCTTCACAAGATTAGCAGCAATTTGATCCTCATCGAGAGAAACAACACTAAAGTTGGCCACTTTTGCAGCAATTTTGGTCTTGTCGAATTTGCAGGTCCCAAGATCGGTGCCGGTGTAGGGGTAATCCTCCTCACGCATAAGTCCACCAGCTCGGAGGGTATACTCAAAAGCACTATTCATGAGCCCACCATTGCATCCGGAATCACAAGAACCTGCTTCTTCTGGATCACACTGCAACCCAAACAATATCCAATTACCCTTTACCGTTATTCTTTCTGTATTACCACAATTACCTCAGAAGTTTCTAACTTTTAATTATGATTGAAACTGTAGCACCTTAAAATCATACCCAATGGTATAAACTAAAGAATAAAGATCTAATGATCATATAAATGATAGCAAGTTGAAATTAAAATGAATTTAATTAATATTAGCGCTTTCAAGCTCGAACCATTAATCCAAGCATGCATACACATTAAGAAAGTTTTTCAAGAGAAGTATAAAAAAATCGAACCTCATGATCACAATCTACAAGCTGTTGCTCGCTAAGGCTCACGAGTTTCCCGGTTGCCAAAAAATTAGCACCTTCCAAGGCTCCTGTTGTACTAAAAGACCAGCATGATCCGCATGAACCCTAATCACCAAACAAACAAAAAATAATTAATGTAATTAATTTTTTATTTTTATTTTTTAAAAGCAATATCTACGAAGGTTAAATTTTCTTAAAATTAAAACCTGATTTTTGACGGGTGTAACAGCTCCTTTTTCTCTCCAGTCAAAATCTTCAGGCAAATTATCGGTAGGCAAAATAGGTGCCTCAGTCGCATCTTTAGGTAGTCTCAATCTCCTTAATCCCAAATATGTCTTCCTGAACTCGCCCGGTGTCAGATCGGAGAACTGAGTCACCCCGTGAGTCGCAGACGGGTCAAGCTTCTGATGACGCGCCGCTCGCCTTAGGTTAGCCTGAAAAATCTTGAATCTATAATCGTGCTCCTCTTGCGACCCGTACGATTTCTTGAACCGTTTCTTAAATAGCGAGAAGTGATGCTCTGCTGTCAACAGCTGTGACACGGCTCCATCGTGACTGTCCGTTACTTGCCTGATCAACGGATCAACTTCCGATCTCTCGGCCGAGAAAGCCTCCGTAGAAATCACGCCAACGAATAAAACAGAGAAAATAACCAACAGACAATAGGCAATGCAATGATCCATTTTTTTCTTTTTAATATTGAAAGTTGCAGAAAAAAGGGAAAGGAAGGTGGGTTATTTATAGGCACTTCATGCGGTACTTCAATTTTCAAAACTAACAGTCATATGGATATTTTGGGGATTTTGAAAGGTTGCTTAGGTGTGAGGGAAAAAGAGGCCAACGAAGAAAAGACACGTGGTGGAGTTAAGTGTTGGGGTGGAATGACAGTTGCTTTTGGGTTTTGGGCTCTTCTGTTAACCGTTATGGGGGAATTGGATTCCATGAAGGTAGCGAAGAGGTTGGGTTGGTTGGATTTGGATTAAGGGAATTTGGGGTTACCTTTGACACTGTTTTGCCCTTTCTTTCGTTTCATCGTTGATGCCTTGCAATAACTCTTTTTTAGGGCTGTAACAATTTTGTTTGCCTCAGCCAATTTACCGTTTTCTAATATAAGAAAAGATAAAATAGAAGCCTTATTTTTTTTATACTTTAATGGTTACATCATCAACAACTTTGACCCTTTTTTTTTATTTTGATACTTTAATGGTTACATCATCAGCAACTTTGACTATTTCATTGATTGAATTTACATGTAAATATATAATTACTCACGTCATTACTCATGAAATTCACCACTTAATTCTCTCCATCTTCTCTCTTTTTTTTGTTCATAGAAATTTACTCATTAGCTTAAAACCGTAGATGTTTACCATATTAGTTAGGTGCATCATTCGTGACTTGTGGCCACCAAACATTTCAAGCAAATTGTTCATAATTTTAGGATTACCATATCCAACCCTTATCCGCAAAACCAAGAGAAGATGACCAACAACTTTCTATCAAATTAAAATTTTTTTCTCCTTCAGCTTTGTACCACCTTTTGCATTTGATTAGGGCTACGGCCAGTTGCTTGCACCATCTATGGGAAGACAAAGACAATGATGAAGATGATGACTACCTGATCCTTAAAAAACAAAGATTCCAATTCATGTTGTGGTATGGTCGAAATTTTGGGCTAAGGAATTTTTGGTTCTATACATTGAGACATTGGTTTTGGTCCATGCTTGTTTTGGTCAGGTGAAACTAAGACCTAAAAAAAGGCCCAACTCTTGTGCAAATGTAAAGCTAACTCTGGCCCAACCTTCGTTCGTCTACCCAAAACAATGAAGTTGGCTTGGGTTAGCAATCTAACCTGAATCTGTCTGGTTCCGATTGAGGGTCTTTTTTTTTTTTTTTTTTTTTTTTTTTTGTAAATTGAGTTTCAGTTAAGATTTGATTGAGGTTTTTTTTAATTTAAGTTGAGGTGAGGCGAGAGTCGAGTTTTAAATAAATCTGTTTTGGTTAGACTTGATATAGTATAATATTTTTTATTGTTTATTTAATTTTATATTTATATTTTAAAATATATTTTAAGTTAAAAATATTTTATTAATTTTTAATCATATTCAATCGGATATTAAAAAATAATATTTTAATATTAAATTCGAATATTTATTATGTAAAATCGAATATGATTATAGGTGAATAAAAATTTATTTTAATTTGATCTGTTGTTATATTTAAAATTATTTTATCTTTTTTCTTAAGAGAACAACACGATTCTAGATTCCATATTTTAATCATTGTGATTTGCAATCATCAACTATGAAAATACATTTTCTTCCATGTTTTTTATAAAAGGAAAGTGTGACAAGAATTGGAGGATGATGGTGGATCATCTACGAGGTTAGGAGACGTAAAAGAAAGTGCAAAACATACAAATCATTAAATTACATGACATGTTTTTGGGATTTTACTTGATTTTTCTCTATTACATGCCAAATTCCCACAAAAAATGGTTCTAATCACTGTCAATTCTAATATTAATATGCATCCATTAGGAGGCAATCGATTCTCTTTCGTTGGCATGAGACACGCTGTGCCTGCCTTTTAGGACCAAGTTGGAAAGGAGAACCAAAAGTTACCAAAAAACAAAAAAAAAAGTAACGAATGGGAATGCCCGCACTTTCAAAGAGGTGGGCCTGAAGTGAATGCCCACTAACCATGGCCGAGCTGTTTTAAGTCAGTCAACAAGGCGTTCTGGTCCAATGTTTTCTGCCGCTGCTCCCAACCCTACCTCACCTCATTTTCCCACATTATTCTCCGCTTCTCTCGAGCGTGTCCTTCACATCCTCCATACAAAAGCTGGGACAAAAAAAAATGTGTTGGGCACGAGCCATGAGCCATAGGAGGAGAGTCAAAAGCAAAAACGATGATTAAAAAATGGGAAGTTACGATTAAAATGGATCTTAGATCTTACCAGAGATAGATTTGGTAAATCGTGATTTTGTATTAAGTAAAATATTGGTAATTTATATATTTTTATTATATTTTATATAAAATTATATATTATAATTTATGTTATATAAAAATATAATATATTTTTTATTTTATTAAATTTATATATAATTTTTTCATTTTAAATCATATTATTTTATTTTTCAAATCATATTATATATTATATTTTAAATTATCATATTTATGTAAAGAGACAAAAATATCTTATTATGATATATGCTTATAATATATAAATGTATTATTATTTAAAAAATAAGATTTGATATATGTATTTAATTTTATAATAATAATTATAATAAACATATTTTTCTAAACTCTTTCAATTTATTTACGTCTAAGCTAAATCGATTTGGTGTTTTCAAATGCATATGCAAATGCAAATGATTTTATTTTCACAATGAAATCTCTCTTAATAAATTGATATTGGAATGTGTTATTTATAACCATGGGAGAGGGTCATATGTCGAAATCATATTTGATATTAATAATTTATATATTTATTTAAATTTAATTTTATTAAAAATTTTAAATTTAAATTTTTTTTAAGTTAGATTAAAATTAAAAAAATAAACTTCAAATTTACTTATTAAATTTAATTTATATAATAAAAATTAAATAATTTAATTTAATGAAATTATATTCAATTCATATATATATATAAATTTAAAATAAAAATTAAGTTTAATAAAATATATAATTTTTATTTTAATTTATATATATGAATTATATATTTATAAAAATAAAAAATTCATATATATATGTGAATTTGGATTAATTTAAATTTTAAATTTTTTATCTAAAATCTAACCTAAAATTTAAATAAAATTAAAAATTATGTTCAAATTCATTCAATAAATTTTAATTTTTATCCAAATCATTTTAAAATTTAAACGAATCATTTAACTTATGAACAGGTCTATCGCTGAAAGAATCCTTGACCAAATTACAAGCATAATAATGCAACCACCAATTCCACTTTTCATTAGGTCAAACGTTCATGTGGAAAATTTAATGTATTTTTTTCTACAAATACGTGTTTTAATTGGAAAACAATTAATCAATGGAAAAAAAAAAAAAAGGTCTAAAGACCATAATTGTCACTAGTGTTTTATGTTTTCAATAAATAATTATGGTTTATGTTAGTTTTAAAAGAATAAAAACCATTCGATGAAACAAAGTGTACCATCTTTTCTATTCATCAGCTCATCATACATTTAATCATACTAAATCCAATAATCGAACGGTGAATGATTACAGTGAGAATCTGATTACAGTTTGAACAACATACAGTCCGGACTACTAGAATCCATCTCACCTCATAAAATATCAGTTTTACCCTTCCTAGTAACTCTATGTTTTCCAACGCTGCAGTCCGAGTTACATTACTGTAAGTCAACCTCAAAGTCTTTGTCATTATTATTATATTATTTTCATCCTACTATAATTTTATTATAAGTGTTTTTCCATTGTACCCATTGGCTTGTAGTATTCAAAGGGTCCACGTTCATAGTCGTACATAATTTGAATATTATTGATTTTCCATTTACGACTCCTATAAATGCCTGACTTATTAGGAGAGCATTGAAGATAAGATCAAAGATGGACTTTCTTTCTTCTTCTGCGGCAGCTGTTGTTCTTCTGGCTTTTTATTTGAGTTTGTGTAACGGAGGAAAGACCAGCATCTATGTCAGGAAAGTGGAGAAAACTGTGGATATGCCTCTTCACAGTGATGTCTTTCGAGTTCCTTCTGGATACAATGCACCCCAGCAGGTGCTTTCTCAGTTCCTTGGTCTCTCCTGTTTTTCTGAACCATAGAGGATTAAAAAAGCCCAATCCTTTTGTTTTGTTCTTGCTATTTCTCGGTTTGGTCTTTCCTTATGCACTTGGTGATTAAAACTGGAAAAAACATGGGTTATTGCATTTTAGTTTGACTTTATTGGATGCTTTGTCATGTGGGTATCCTGAATTTAAGGTTCATATAACACAAGGAGATCATGTTGGAAAAGCTGTGATTGTTTCATGGGTGACTGAGGATGAACCAGGTTCCAGTACGGTGCTTTACTGGAGTGAGAACAGCAAGCAAAAGAAAAAGGCAGAGGGCAAAGTCACAACCTATAAGTTCTACAATTACACCTCTGGTTACATTCATCACTGCACCATTAGAAATCTGGAGGTAAAGTTGAATTCTTTCTACCATCTCATTGTTTCAAAGCATTTGCTACATTCATAATTTCCCTTTTGCGATTCTGTTTTTTGCCTGTAAGGCTATAATCTATACACCTTGGCTTCTGGATAAAAGTACCGAGCATTATAAACTCTAAATTCTTAACTATATATTACTATCAGCGTGATGCTTGGATTTCAATTCTGGGTCTCTTTATTTGTTTGTGTACAGTACAACACTAAATATTACTATGCGGTTGGTGTTGGTCATACTACGCGAAAATTCTGGTTTACAACTCCTCCTGAAGTCGGTCCTGACGTCCCATACACCTTTGGTCTCATGGGTAAGCTGCCTCCATCATTTCTCGTAGTTCAAGAGGTTTCTGATAAGAATTTTCATGTGTAATTAAAAAAGTAAAGATTACATTCACTTGAGTTGCTACATATTTGATAACATTTTAGACTTGTTATTGTTGTGGGATGTTTTTATTTGATCTTCAAGATAGATAGTTGTGGGCTTTTCTGGTTTGTGTTGCTGGATTGCTGCTCTTTATGTGGATGTTTTTGAGTAAATACCTACTGCTTATATTTAGATGTGCTGATGTATCAAAATTGGAAATCATTATGCAGGGGATCTAGGGCAAAGTTTTGATTCAAATAGCACTCTGACTCATTATGAACAAAATCCACTGAAAGGTCAAACAGTATTGTTTCTTGGGGATCTTACTTATGCAGATCGATATCCTAATCATGATAATGTAAGATGGGATACATGGGGAAGGTTTGTTGAGAGAAGTGTTGCATATCAACCATGGATATGGACTGCAGGAAATCATGAAATTGATTTCGCCCCTGAACTTGTAAGCATTCATTCTTTTTAATTGTGATAAACTTGTAAACGCTATGAACTTCTTTTCTATTTGGTAGCCAATAGCTCTCGCCCACCTCCTTTTTTTGGTTACCAATTGCAATGGGGAAATAGGAGTTGTATGACAGTTGTGGAAGCTCACCATTCTCTGGGACTAATGTACTCAAAAAGCGGCACTGATGTTTTTCTTTGTTTTGATTTTAACCTTGGTTTTGTCTGATTTTACTGCTTTGTCCTTGAACGTCAAAGATTGCTGGCAGAGTCAATTGGTAACAACATGATTATGGTTCTGTTGCAGGGTGAAACAAAGCCTTTTAAGACTTACGCTCATCGTTATCATGTTCCTTACCAAGCATCAAAAAGTAGTGCTCCGTTTTGGTACTCAATAAAGAGAGCTTCAGCGTACATCATAGTCTTATCTTCATATTCGGCCTATGGTAAAGAAAATAAATCTTTTGCAAAATTGTGGACTTAGATTCTGGATTCCTCTGGTAACTATTGACATTTTTCCCACAGGTAAATACACTCCTCAGTACCAATGGCTTGAAGAGGAGCTACCAAAAGTTAACAGGAGTGAAACACCATGGTTAATAGTTCTTATGCATTGCCCATGGTATAATAGCTACAACTACCATTACATGGAAGGAGAAACCATGAGAGTAATGTATGAGCCATGGTTTGTGCAGTACAAAGTTGATGTTGTATTTGCTGGTCATGTCCATGCCTATGAACGATCTGTAAGCTCTTTGTCTATGTGGGTTTGAACCATTTGTTCACTTATAGCTACTAAATTTGAGTACAGTTGCTTCGTCAACAGCTTTTAAAGTCTTAAAGATCTGTTGAATGCTGGAAATTCTTTTAAAATGATTATTCATTAATTACTGATTTACATATATTACAGGAACGTGTATCCAACATTGCATACAATGTTGTAAATGGTATTTGCACTCCTGTGAAGGATCCATCTGCACCTGTATACATCACCATTGGTGATGGAGGGAATCTTGAAGGCTTAGCAACCAAGTAAAGATTGTTCTTATATTACATTATATATATATATATATATATATATATATATTGGTCTTCTCTTTGTGATGGTTTAATGCATGATTTGATGTCAATGTCTGTTTTGTATTTGTAGCATGACAGAGCCACAGCCAGCGTATTCAGCTTATCGCGAAGCCAGTTTTGGTCATGCCATTTTTGATATCAAGAACCGGACTCATGCTTATTATAGTTGGCACCGCAACCATGATGGATTTGCTGTTGAAGCTGATTCTATGTGGTTTTTCAACAGATTCTGGCATCCAGTTGATGAGTCTCCATCCTCTCATTGAGAATGGATAACATGCTGTTTCCCATTTTTAAAAAATTTCTTGTGCCCTTTTTTTAAAAATTAAATACAAAATTATAATCAATAAACATTTCCAATCTTTTTCTTCACCTTTCCCGCTCCACTCCGCAATTCCCTTTCAATGAATTTATGTGTACTTTTGGTAGGGTAGGACGGAGAAAGTTGAAATGCTTGTTAAAGATAAAAAAAAATAGGGATAATACTCATATAAGTCTTCTGTTTCCTTTTTTTTAAATAAATTTCAAGTATTTATTTAAATATTATCTCAAAACTTTATCTAACATTAATCTGAGTTGTTATATACTTTATATTATATAAATAAATAAATATTATAAATAAAAGAGCATGTGACAATATTTTAATTCATCTACATTGTATTAAACAACAATCCATAAAGTTTTTTTTTTTTTTTCAAATATTTAATCTGTTCATTAAAGAGAAAAATAAAAACTTGTGCTTCACCTCTTGATTTAGTAGCTAAGAAAGTTTTGTGAGTACATAAAAGTTCTGATTTCTAGTGAAGTTCTCTTTTTTTTTTTTTTCTTGTAAGGGTTATGTTCTCTCCTAAATCAAAGAAAAAAAGAAAAAAAAAAACCTGCGGTGCATTATGTATGCCGTTCTCATCGTTATAAAAGTAGCCACAAGCAGAAATGTCCAGTACTTTCTTTCTTTCTTTAGGTTTCTTCAGATGGAAGTCTTTCGAACGGCTTATCTTCTACTGTTAGTCTTTATTTTGAGTAACTGGCAGATGCAACATGTTCACGTTGCGATGTTGGTTTGGAAATTCGAGGCTATCTGAACCTGCTTTGCTCGCTCAAATTAAGCCACGTATACACAGCATTCGAGCATCTTTCCGCCTTTCGCTTTTCATTTATTATATTCTAATCGCTTAGTTAATATCTTAACTGTTCACAAAACACATCAACGCCTGTGATAAGGGAGAATATATAGGTTTGTAATGTCCAACTTAAATTGCCACTTAGAAGCATATTGGCTCTAGATGCTTTAAGAATGCAACTTTTCCAAAGAATCTTACTTTCTGCCCAACCCACGCGACTATTGTTGTTGCTATATATATGTTTGCTGACATTGTCTGGGTTGCAAGCTTAGCATAGAAAAAAGCCAAACAACGGTCTGCGTTTAACAAGACTAAATATATATTAATGACACTGTCTTGTAGATGTGACTCACATGAGATTCATGCTGTTGTTTGGATGGATTAATGTCAAATTGGCCACCATTATTCACAAATACCAATACGGCCATTACCCTTTATTTCCATCCAATTGTCAGTATTCGTGTTCGTTGCCATAAGTCTTCATCATATTTGGAAGGAAAAAAAAAAAAAAAGAACCGTAGATTTATATTTTCGAGCAATATTCTCGTAAATCCGTTATAGTCTAGTTGGTTAGGATATTCGGCTCTCACCCGAAAGACCCGGGTTCAAGTCCCGGCAACGGAATATTTTTTCCTTTGATAGATAGAATATTTGGCTTATTGCTCGTAAATTCACTTACAAGCATTTTATAGTTATAATTCTTTCTTCGTTTCACATTTACTCGAACAGTTAGATGTCTCCTTCAATAATCAACCCAAAGGAAGAGATATCTAAATGAAGCACTTGCTTTTCCAATCACCACTCCATCGACTCAATTGGCAAATGTCAAACTCACAAAGGGAGCCAGAAACAAGGCAAAGGAAACCAGGGGAAGAACCATGACTACAGGAAGACAACTAAACCAGTAGAGCAGCATTTGATGACTATATATAATTGCACTCCAAACTTGGCAAAGATTATTAATAAGGCCATTCATTATGCTAAGTTTTTAATGTAGTAGAGACATGCCAAAACCTAGGAATCTATGGCTCTTTTTATAGGCTAAAAAAGAGTTTTTGATTATACATTACCCTAATCTATCAACCCGAGTGAGAGTGAGAGTGAGAGAGAGAAGGGAAACCTACATCATGATTCATGAGATTACATACAACCAAGCACATTGTTGACTTCCACTGACCGACCTTCAAACCATATAAACAGGACATAGGTTGTCAAACCAGTTACTGTCAACTCAATCATCATGACCAACAAGGCTACAGATTTGGATGCAGATATATTTGTCTGCATGTTTGCTCCAAGCCTACACATGGTTAGAACCGAGAACAACTCTAGTCTCTTGGCTAAACCAATGAGTTTATGTACTTTTTGTCACCTTCGTCGTCGTTTTGTATCCACCTGAAACACAATGTTGATGTAGCAGTCACAAATACATACCAGCTGAAGGATATACAAGCTGTGTAATACCATTAACACAGTTCAATCAGAAACTTAAACCATACAAGCTGTCACAAAAACCCCTATTTATTCTAAAGGTATGAGCTAGATTCCTGCAGACATAAAACAACCTGGAACAATGTAAACCACATTGATGCATACTGATTATACGCTTTTTCTTTAGCACTATGTTCTTCACTATTGCCATGCATGGCCTTCACAAATTTATTGCATAAGTTTAGTACTATCTTTACGCAGAGCTAACATGAACTCAACAAAAAACAGCATAGCTTTCCTTTTACTAAATAAAAATTACTCAAACATTCTCCCAAGTGATAATAACATAATCCACATTCAAACTCACTAGCATACACACAACTAACTCTATCTTACCCATCAAGTCATCACTCAGTATACTTCCATATCTGTGATCCACTGGCTCTGAAATCTTCTAAATTTGAGAAATTGAAACCACCGAAAACAAAGATATGCATAACGGAAAAAACATGCCAACTAGATTGGTGATTATAAGAAATAAAGCAAAGGGAGGTGAGACCATAGCTTGGGAATTACGAGCAACACCAAGTTTTGAAGGTTCTTCTGCCTCCTTTTGGTAAGAATCTGGATTTTAATGTGAGTATTCCTGTTATTCATCAATGCAGCATGAACTGATGATTAATTAAGAAGAATGTACCATTTTGACCCACATTCATCCTGAAGGCCAAATAATTGTGCATTGGTGAATAATTATATATAATTTGACCCAGATATAATAATTCTGCTTATGTGGATAAAATAAATGGCATTTCAAGGCCACCTCAATATCCATCAGACATGCATGTTAACTTGAGTCCAGACTGAATAACTAGTAATGACTACCAAGAAGGAATCGAAGGACAAGCAGGAATACCTTTGTCTCTGAGTGTCTGAAAGTAGCATGGGAATTCTGCAACTTCTTTTGACCTTCAGATGAACAACTTTCACAAAAGAAGTGGTCAAGTCCTTTAGCCTCCTCTGCTATCATTTCTATACAAGCAGGATGAAACCTGAATCAAAAGTCATATGCTGAATATGGCAACAGTTTCTACAGCATACTTGATAAATTGTACGCATTTTATTCACAGAATTCAGAGTAAAGAAAAGAGGAACCTTTGAAATTAGACATGAAAGTAGATCAGAGGAAAAAGTCTTTCTGAGACAGCTTCTAAAAGTAAAAGAAAAGAAACTAAATGTCCCAGCTAGGATCAAGAACAAACCTCAACCTAAGAAGGTACATGAAGTGAAAATATAGCAAAAATCTGTCTCTACTAGCATGCTAACCATTTCAGGCTTCAGCCCATGTTAACGTTTTTGTATTTCACAAACAACAGTCAGACTTCTGAATACTGCTTGGATCTTCAACAATGTATATTACTTTCTATATAACATACAAAAATAGAAATACAATACACGCAAGTTCCTAAAGTTCAGTGAGTAATTCTCCAAATTTTCCTACTCTAATAAAATCTACCAACTCAATGCCAACAATTCTTGATTTGTACATCCATGAGCCATAGATGTGAACACTGCATCTAAGCAAAGACCATTCATATCAAAAAAATTTATATCAACACAATCAACTACACAGACCGTATAAAGGCTAAAGACCTATATTCCAGGAGGACAAACCCCTCCTTCCACCCAGCAGGCTCAAAGGGATGGATAAATTCAAGCTTAGGTCCATCACTTTGACATAGCCTTCTCACAGAAAATCAGGTGTCCTGCCTTTTATGTCCAGCAAAGGACAACAAAGACTTTGATTGCATCACAACTTATAAATGCTTCTACATAGGGCTACCAGAAACTTCTTTAGAGCTATTTTCTTAAAAGAAAACACTAATTAAACCCTTGCCATACTAGCACTGTACAAACTGAACAAAAAATAATGTTCTGTTTCCACAGCAGACAAGGAGAGAAAGGTATCATCATTCCACTAATGGGCCAAACTTTAAAACTTCTTTATCCTTTTTGGCTCCTATTTCAAGTGGCAGCTAAAATAATACCCTTCCAATCTTTTGCAATAGCACCTGCTGATTAATGACAGCTAAAACTATAGCCTATCCACCACTCTAATAAATTGCTTTCATGTCCTTGAGCAGACATATATGAGAACTGATTTCGTGCAAGCTTATAAAAGATAAAGTATTCTTTTTAAAAAATCAACTATAGCTAGAAAAGCATTCAGGAGAGAAGTCTTCTTGCATATTTCATACAAAATATTCATGCACAATACCTAACAGACAAGATGTGGAAAAAGGCTCAACTGAAATAGCTATCTTCCTAAGCATATCCAACTTACCAGTCACTGCAACCGTCACACTGAACCATTAGGTCATCAGGATTGTAAGGCATCTCACATTTGCAATAACTGCCACATTACAATAACAAACTAGGTAAAATAAATTTTAAATAGAATAATCTAAAAACCAAAGTTGCAAACCACTCCAGCTCACAAAAATGTTTACTTGCTCTAAAGAACTACTTCCAACAAGTTCACCATTTTGATCAATAAAATTTTGATAATTTAGAAGGAACTTACACCTAAATATACCGACAAATAATGTATTAACCTACAAAACCATATAAAATTTTGAATTTAAGGGACCTTATATATGTAATGCACGACTATGAGCAAAATCAACTTTTAAATTTTCCCCAAACATAAATTAATCAAAGCATTAAGTTATAAAAAGAAACCAACAAAAAGTTTGACTTTTAATACTCAAAATGCACAATTTCAAGCACCTCACTGGTGTTTCGAAGCATAAATTAATCCAAATATAAAGCCTAAAAATTTAACATTTTCTTTTCTAATGTTCAAGTCAATGAATAATCAACTTAAATTGACTAACCTAATCTTAGTCAAGCCTTTAACTGATTAAAACATTATTAAATAAAATTAACCAAAAAAAATAAGCCAATTAGGCAACTAAAGTCTGCAATTTGAAAAAAGAAAAGGAAAACATAAGCCTAACTGATAAGTATCCTCGCAGAAATCAGGGCATATATTAAAACTAAAAATTGAGAGGAAAAAAAGAAAGGAACATACACGGCGACGCGATCGGGGTTGAAAGCACCGGTGGAGGAATTATATTCGAAACGACAGAAGAAGTCGTCGTTTCCAACGGCATCAAGCTTGGTATAGCTCTTGAAGCTATGGACCGTACACTTTCCTTCGATGGTATCGGCGCTCTGAACATCATAATGATCAGACAAGAAAACCTCTTTAGATCCATGGAACTGTCTCCTCCCACCGATCGACTCCTCCGGCCTATAGTACCACCTCACGTGCACCTTCACGTTTCCTCCACGTGCATCCGCCTCGATCCGCTCGATTCTCGCCACGTATTGCGGCTTTGATTGATCCGATGGTCGCATCAACACGCAATCCCCCGCTGTCAATTATCACAACTTTTAGAAAAACCTTTAACTACTACAAATTTGTCTCTCAATCTCTCTCCTTCTTTTAAATTTTTTACTTTGCTTCCATCTTTTTATTTCTTTTGGCTTACCTTTAATTGTTTTGTTGATGTGTTTGACTGTGTACGAGTCTAGAGTTCTCCTTGGAGCTTTGGATTTGGCCATGGAAGAAACAGAACAAGAAAAAAGAAAAAAGGGTGGCGTTGAGGAATACAAGGATTAGAGAGATATTGTGGACTGACAAAAAAGAAATTTAAAAATAATATAATTAATAAAAATATTTTAATAAAAAAGAAATTCAAAATTTATTTTTGACGGGTAGGTTAGATTCGGTGTTGCGGGGCTATGGTGAGGTTGTGTTTGGAGGGTTTAAGCAGCGTTGATAGGGTTTGGAGAGGGGATAAGATTGGAATTGAGGTGAAAGTTGAGGGGTTTTACGGGAAGTAAAAAGGAACTATAAGTAAGGATACGGGTGTTGTATTTGATTCTGTTACAAGATTCTCAAGCTGCGGTGACGTTTTAATGGGAGCTCGGATTCGGTGCAATCAGTATTACTTTTGCAGAAGTTCAGGTGCTTCCTTCTGTTGTTGCCACGTAAATGTTTCTAGAAAGTATCTGTTTATGATGCTGCCACGCAAGCTTTTCTTGGAAGCTTGCTGTCTTTAAACTTATCCATTTACATTTAGATATATTATATTTTAAGATTGGTTTGAATTCCATCGCATTGAAATTTTGCCTCCTTCAACTGCATTGTGGAATGCATTTGAATAGCAGCCAAAATCCCAAGCAAAATTGTTAATATAGAAATACAATTGAATTTAACAGTAATACTTAAAAAAAATTACGATTGTATCACAACTTATCTCAATCAATAAATATAATTTATTTTAACATAAAAATTTGAGTATTGATTTGTTGTTAATTAAATAAATTATAAAATACGATACATTTTATTTTAAATTTGAGACTAAATAATTTATTTATTTTTAAATTTTTGTAAAAAAAAAAAAAAGAGTCCAAAGACCAGCCATCACGAATTCCATCTGCAATTTTCAGCCTCCACAAGAACACTATTTGGAAGTCTCAACCCATCTATTGTTGGCAGTACAAATGGCCAATGTTTGCTATTTTGTATTACATTCCATTTGAGATAATGAGTATGTAATCATCCTTCTTCTTTGCCTCTTCTTCTTTCTTTCTTTTTGGGATAAATATGTCATTTGAGATCATGTTTAAGTTAGCTATTTGTCACCAATCGTTTTACCAGTGAAATCTTTGATGCATCTCCCCCAATTTCTTCAAAAACCAGCAATAAATTTTGTGTTGACTTCAACCAGGATCTGGGAACATGGTACCTGAAAACATGACACGTTTGGAAGAAAGTTAACTAGTGTTACAATCTTTCATTCAGGAAAGTTTGATTTCAGAGGGCTTGTACCATTGCTGAGTTGGATTGCCACAACCAAATTGACATTTGGTCTGACGAAATGAACCGACATAGCTGCATTCACTGCAATTACCATTGGCTGAAGTAGTCCAATATCGGCCTATGCTCTGTCCATTGATCCATAGTTGGCCTTTTCCCATGCTACCCATGTCCAAAGCTAAGGGATCATCTCCTTCCGGAGCATCAAAAAATGCCTGAAGGTTGAATTGATAGTTTCATTTTTATAATTGCATGAGCTGTAATAGTTTGGTTAAGCTACATTTTCAAGGAACAGATATATATACGTTGCTTCATATCCATTTCCCTTACCTTACACCACGTTAATGGATGTTGTTTCTGAGCTGCCAAGGATCCTTGGATCCAATCAATTGATGGGATAGAATTTGGAGAACCTAGACTATCAGCTTCTCCCTTAAGGCCAACCTGTTGGAGAGAAACAATCATGAGGAAGAAAGTCATTGGAAACCATGAAAGCATAGAAGAGGAATCGGTCAACCTTGTATGACCATTTCTGCCAGGTTAAGTCCCTTTGTCCTTCATCTAGCCCATGTAGAACAACTGGTCCTCGGACTCCTGTGTCCCATGTCTCAAAATGCAAACCAATATTCTTCAACAACAGGAAAAATTGAAGATGAAATCAGCAAAAATTTTCAATGGAAAGAAAGGGGTTTTAATGCTTCAGACCTCAGCCTAATTGTTAGATCCTTGAGTTACCTGTATCGTATCCAAAACATTATGGTCTTTTAATATGGTGCTAGCACATGCCACGTTAATATAACTTTTCTCTTTTTCTTATGTCATGATTCCACATATGTTTTCATATTGTAAGAATTGGTTCTATGATGAAAATGGAATAAGGTGAACCAACCGGCAATCCAACCGCTATACTGAGAATTGAAATTTTATTCATTCCAGGGTGCAGGTTTATACTTTCTGTAAAAGTAAACCTCCTGTTTTGCCGAGTCCCAAAGGCTGATCCTGTAAGTTTTAAGCAGTAGAAAAGTTTTTCAGTTACTTAGCACCCATGAGCACTAGCTCAGGAATGAGAAACTGAAACTTGTACCTGAAAGCTGCCCATTGATAAAAACATGCATGCCATGCCCTGCTGATTGCACACTGAGGGAGGGGAGTTTGCCTCCATGAAGAAATGATTCAGCTGAACTTATTTGGACACTGGAAAAATCAACTAATCAATAATTGAAAGTCGAGATCAATTTAATTTTAGTTGAGACAGAATCATCCAAATTTTACCTGGTTGTGTACCAGAGATAATCACTGGTATCTCTTGTGATGTTTAATTGTTCCAAGAGACCCTTGACTGTCATTGGTGACTCATCCTCCACTGAATATACATCTTCATTGAATGTCTCCCAGGATTCCAACTTCACATTTGTCGGTAGCATTTGCACTTGAGATGCTTTAATTCCAACCTGGAAAGAGATATGGTATCTGGTCTATCATCTCATCACATTAAATGAAACCGAAAAGAAACTGAATGTAGACCATGGGCAATCCAAAATAGAATATCAGACTATTGTCAAATCACTTACTTTGGCGGTGTTGAAAACAACATTTTGGCAATCTGGAAGGATGCTGATGGACCAACGGGGAAGGTCATAGTGCATATTATTAAAAGTCACCCTTGCATCTGACCGCATATTGTAGTTGGAGAGAAATGCAGCACAGCCGCCCGACTCGGAAGAGAAAACATGTGCCTGAGAATAGTTACCATTGAGTTTGATTTGCTTGTCAGACTTTAACAAGCACATTTATTCAAGAAGCAGAAAAAGATTCAAGTCTGAATGTCCAGGCACCTGTTCGTAGCTTCCCAAAGCTATGACGTTAGGATCAGCAGTCAACAAAGCTTTTTCACACAACCTAATAGCCGTATGGAGTTCCTTCAGATGATCATACTTAGGTTGCCTGATCAAGCCTTTCAAATTAGCAATATACCATTAGTTACATGTCAGAAAGGCACTTGGGTTTAACTCAAGTGATAGAGTGGAGTGGGTTTATATAAAGATTTGATGTCCAAAATCGGAAAACATGTCAAAATGGTGCTACTTGGATTAGAACTCTTACCATATTCATCAATTGGAGCATCATAGTCATAGCTGGTAGTAATGAAAGGGCCTCCAGCAGTTCTTCCAAAGTTGGTACCACCATGGTACTGCAGAGTACAGAACAGGAAAAAAAAAAAAAAAGCAGTGCATAAATGTTCCTTTCAATAGTAAAGAAAATAAGAGCTTTAAATGCTTGGTGCAATTTTAATTAGCCTTTGCCAGATGCAAAGTTCACAATTTTCCTTATGATTTTCAGGGAAAAGGACGGAATTTGTTTTTCTCCTCTCAGTTTTGAAAATGGCCTTTACGAGTCAGTTTGCACATTTTAACTGAAATGTGTTCATGAATGTTATCCAATAATTGCTGTAACTTTACAATTCAACTATTTGAGAAATCAAAGTTGTTAACAGACCATATAGTAATTGACAAAGGAGCCACCCTTTTGAATGAATCTGGCAACAGCAAATGCTAAATCCTCAACTGGCCTGCGGTAATTCGGGCCACCAAAGTCTGAAAACCTACATAAAGAGAGGGGCAGATGGTAAGCTTATAGTTGAAAAATACAGGAGAGAAAAACCCCATTTTGATTGGTGATGGGTGCGAAATTTACCAGCCAGTCCATGCCTCAGTCCACATTGTGGGTTTGTACGGTTGGTTTGGAGAGAAATAGTCACAATAAAAACCATTGCATGTGTTTATCTGTCACCACCAGAGTCTTATAATGCAAGGCTAATAGTATGAATGAAGCTTTCAAAGACAACATCAATGGCTGATCCAAGTTGTTTTGCTTACCACGGGATCTGGGGCATCATATTCCTTGCACATAACCCATGGGATCCCTGTGTCCAGCCCAACAGCCATTGTTGCAGCCCATTTAACATAAGCTTGACCAGCAGGTCCAAATGACTTTCTTTCAGGTTCATATTCATTTTCAATCTGCAAACAAACAGAACAGTGAACAGATTGATTATCAACTGAGCAAATATAAATGAAGAAACAATTAAATTTGATGCAAAATGGATATGTCCCATTTCATGCTTTGCAAGCATGTTAAAACTCAAAGGGAATATAACCTAAGCCATACCTGAGAGAGGATGATGGGACCACCTTGAGACTCAAACAAGTTTTCATCCTTCATCATTTGGACGATTTTTTGGGTGAATTTTTGCATTGCTTGCTGAAACACCAAAAATGGCAAAACTTGAAAAAATATGTCAATAAAAAATTAACTCTGATTTGGAACACACAAAGTTTGCATTGCTTATCTTTTTTTTTTCTTTTTCGTTTATTTACCTTGAAAGGCTCATTATCTGTTCTGAAGCTAATTCCCGGAACATACTTCAACCAAACAGGAAAACCTCTAGGGAAAGAAAAAAAATGAAGACATCAATGAACATCTTGTATAAGGTTGTCTTCACAATGGAAGAAGTATTCATTACCCAAAATTCCATTCTGCACAAATATAAGGCCCAATGCGAAGATGAACGTATAGCCCAGCTTTTTTTACCAGTTTGATGAACTGAACCAAATCATATCTCCCTTCAAAATTATACTAACACCCAAAAAAGAAAATTGGAAATTCGTAAGAAAAAAAGGCAAGAAAGTTACTTCTAACAGGGAAAAAACAGAGGAAACCAGGGAAAAGCCGAAGCAAAACAAAAAAAGATGAGAGAAGCAAACTACATTGCCAGGAGAAGGTTCATGGAGGTTCCAAAAGACATAGGTGTCAATAGCATCCAAACCACCATCTTTAGCTTTCTGTATAAGACCTTCCCACATCTGCATTACATCCACATCATTTCACTATCTAAAGTTGCCACAAATTTGTCTACAAGATCGATATTTTCCCAAGAAAATGTGGGATGAGATGAAAAAATGAGAAGATATTGTACCTGAGGGGTGCTTCTAGGATAATGTATAGAACCAGAAAAGAGAATTCTCCTCTGCCCATCAATGATAAGAGCCTTTCTGTCATAGGTGACATTGCATTGAGTCACCATAACATTTAGAAACAACATTGCAATGCATAGAAAAAACCAGTGGGAAGCTGAGTTAGCTGCCATTTTCTCCACCAAAGACAGCAAGAGAGAGAGAGAGAGAGAGAGGTGAGCAAACAATGAGATGAAGTGTGAGGAAAGAAAGAATGTGGTTTGTTAGATACTGGTTACTGTTCCACTAGACGACAGAATCCTTTTTTGTCTTGAATCATTTTGAAGGAAAACAAGTGAAAACTATCATACAAGGGAATCAAAAGATTTTGAGTTCAGAATTGTTTTGTTCTTTCCCATTTTTCATCTTTTGTTCTTTTCCAAATATTATAATTCTCACTTTTTTTACTACCAATAATGTGTATATATGTTGAAAACGAATACTATGTAGCTGCCTTATGGGGGACAACATTGGAAAAAAGAAGAAAAAAGCAAGCATGGAATGATCCAAACGAATCATTCATTTCTCATAAAATTTTTCGTAAGAGTTCATCTGATCATCCTAAGAGCAACAGCCATGTTCCATAAAAAACTCATTTTTACAATATTTTTCCTGATTAATCATTGGACTAAAGAAGTCAACATGAACATGTTAAATGAAAATGAGTAAATTGACAGCAAAATGGGCTTTCAGAGCTAATTTATTCTGCTTTTTTGAAACAATGGACTCATGGGTGACCCACCTCAATTCCCCCATGTGAGTGCCAATATCGCATTCTTGACCTTTAACAGAGTTACGTGTATATATGGCTTCCACTCAACCATGTCAAGACATGACAAAATGTGCATTTGTTACATTATTCCAAGCCTTAACAAAATGACATGATGAAGGAATAAATCAACTAAACCATTTCAACTAGAGCTTTCAATAAACTAATGTATGATCACCAGCTTTTAGGTATATGATCACATCAAATTTTGTGTATGTTAATGGTAAAGTGTTGATTCCTGAAGCATCTTCTTTAAAAAAAAAATTATAATTACTCATACATATACTGATCTTTTCTAATTTATAACTATAATAGTATAACTATTTATGTTTTCTAGTTCATGTTGTTGAGTGAGTTATAAGATAACAATAGAGAATTTTTAGCTAGTGAAAGGAGAAAGAAAAGAATAAAAATAGCATGGGTCACTTTCAATCTTACGTTGTGAATGAATATTGGAGATGATGATGGAAACTTTGAAAGGTGATGAATATGGAGCCATCAGCCATGCATCTCATGATCTCAACCAACCACCCCCATCCAAAAATTGTGGTTGTGTTAATTGACATTTTATGTATTTTTTTCTCTATGATTTGCTGCTTTGCCCAAAGTCACAACCACTTCTCACAATCAAACATGCAAGATGTGGGCTGTATGGCAGATAATAGAAAAGGACATCAATATGTTCATTGTCTTCTGGCATGTCATGCCCTTTAAAGAAAAAGTGGCAGGGAGGGCTTCCCTGCTGATATTGTCAATTTTACTTCTTTTTCTTGTGTTGATTCCCACGGTGAAACATCTGAATGGTAGATAAAATTTGATATTCTTTTGCTTATCCTTAATGTCTGCACCAAATATAGAGGAGATTAACCAAAAGTGAGTAAATTTGTGAAAATGCCATTGATATCAACTACATTTTGGTGTAACATAGTGCCTAATACCCATCAAAAGGCGAAGCAAATTGAAGGGAAACGGAATCCCCGAGGCAAACAACAACTTAATAAGATGTTTTCATCATTTTAGGAAAGTTGTCATATAAGTGCAGATATTATCTCAATCATAAGCGTGTAACAAAGAACAGAATAGCTTCAAATTGCCACCTATACTACTCTATGTTAGAAGTGCACAAAATTGTTAATTTTAACGATGTACAAAACTTATAGCAATTGCATTACCATCAATCGCGTCAACCTATCTTCTCAGCTTTCTAAAGATGGTTCTGTCATGATATGCCGCAAAACTGGCTATATAACCTGCTAAAATGAAATTAAGCCTGAAACCATCTTCTAATCTTTTTAGAACCTTGCTTTTCGGCATCGGATGTTTTGGATTTCTGCTGTGAGAATTTAGATCTGTATTGTTCAATTAGCATATCAAGTTTGTCTACCACATCTCGCCCTGATGGATCTTTATTCCTTTTTGACCTTTTTCTTTTTGAATTTGTCTTTCCCTCCTGCCGGTTTGCCTGTTCTTTTGGCGTCCTCTCTTTTGGCTGCAAAACTGCTTCCACCTCCTTGAATTTTAATTTGTGGGTATAGTTAACAGTTGTTTCAACCTTATGTGAACTTCCAACATCAGGCTTCAGGCCACTTTTGCTATACTTGGGTTTGCGATTTAATGTTTTCAACTTCTGATTGGAGCCTTCCATATGTTCTTTCAAAGGAGATGGTCTTGTCTTTTCACCTGATGGATTATGCTTTGGCTTCTTAGTAGCTTGGCCTTCTTCGGTAGCCACTGTGTTTTCCATCTCAGCCTTTTTCAACTCCGAGAGTTTAGTTGCCCTTTTGTCATCTCTAGATTTCCGTTTTCTGGATTTGGTAGGGTGAGCATCAAATGGATGTGATTCAGCATTTTGCTGTGCATTTTTCAAATCATCACTAGCATCCTGCTGCTGAGTTTGTAACTTAGCTTTCCGCAGCTTCAATGTCTGCACATTATCAACAGCAAACTCCACTATTGGACGATGCTCAGGACCAAAAGTTTCTACAAATAAACAATGACAATTTTAAATTAGAATAGAAATGAAACAATGCACTTCTTTTTCACCCTTTGATGTTATTGTTAAACCACCCTTCAAATGCATATAAGCTAAAAGCAAAAAAGGACAAATCTTGTGTTGAAATCATAGCCGATCATACACATGAGAAATACCAATGAGAGGCACTACCAGGATTGTTATTAAGAACCCTCAAGGCCACAAGTGCATGCTGATGTTCTGTAAACTCAACAAAGGCAACCCCACGTGACTGATTCTTAATGACAACTTTTCCCTTCTTCACAGTTTTCAAGAACTTAATCTGCATAAGTAAAATCAGAGTTAAGAGAGTACTCTAAATATGCAGAAAATTATAGAAAGAATCAAAAGTAAAAAAAAATTAAAATACCAGATTAACAACTTTATCTAACCTGCCGTAATACAGGTTTTTGCTTTGTAGCTCGTGAGGTAACTGCATCAACACAAAGTTGTTTCAATTCTTTTTCAGTCATGGACTTTGGCAAATTATACATAACAAGTCTTGTCTTCGAAACATGGAAATTCGGAGATTGAAGCTTGGTCATCTTTTTTTCATGCAACCTGCAGGGCTTCCAAATAGCTTTAGGATTATAATATAGGAAAGTGAAATTTCACAAGCTAATCAGCATGAATATCAAGTACTCCTTCCATTAGCAATTTTCTTCCAAAAGTTAAAGCTAGGTCAACATAACTGACTTTATCCCTTATGTACTTATTCTGTTTTGCCTATCCATTTGCACCATTCCTGGCCAAACCAGAGAGCTGTTAACTACTAAGCAGTGAACATAATACAAGCCATTTGTATTGTGCAGTGCCATAGGCAGAAGAAATTGATGCTCAGTATCCGACTTATACAATCAGGGAAACCAATAGAAAAAGATCCTTACATTTTGCGCTTTTCCAAATCACTAGTTGAAACATCCTTAGCAGCTGGAGTCCCCTCAATTATAAGGCCTTCCTATTAAGTCAAAAACAAAAATGTCAAAACTATATTGCAAAAACATTAAATCAACGGAAATTCAGTTAACTGTCAAGTAAAGCAACCTTTGCCAAGTAAAGATTACGATGGTCATGATCCTCAACTTTGGCCTTCTCCAATTCCTTATCATGTGCTGATTTTCGATCCAAGGCCTTCAACACTTTGAGTTGTCTACCTTTGAGAAAAATACCCAAGCCAGACGCAGCATTTGCTGCTGAAATTGCTGCAGTAGCTGCATCTATTGTTTTAAACTTGAGAAAACCAGTTCCTCTAGGTCGCCTGCCAGGTAGCCAAAAAATCATAAGTATTTAACTTAAAGGAGTAAAAAACAAAACATTTCAAACTAGATTGAGCCCTTACTTGGTAACTGGATGAAGGACTGGAAGAAAGGATTGCACTTCGCCAAATCCAGAAAACCTTTCTTTCACTTCTTTATTATCAATATCGAATGGAAGGTTACTTATGAAAATTGTTCTCTGCAATTCATCTTCTCCATCCGTCTGTTTAACATTTGTTTGTTTATTTTGGCTGGATTTTTCAGGTTTAGTCATATCGGATCCTATTGCAGATTCAGTGGGTAACTTATTTTGCATGTCATTGGTTTCATCTACATTCAACTTGTAATCCATCGTGGGCAGAACCGCATCATCAAGGAGAGAAAGAGAAGCTTTAGAAGAAGATGTCACCAAGTTACTCAGAACTTTTCTTGCCATGTCTACTTCCTTATCAAAATCAACTGCTTTAGATGTTCTTTCTGTCTCTGACATATTTGAGTCATCTGAAGCAATACCACCATCACTATCACCATCCCCACCTTCATCCTCCATAGCAATGCTACTTCTATCACTTTCATTGTCTCTTTCAGTCAGCTGCCCTGAAAACCACTAGAAAAGAGATAAATATCCCATTCCAACCTAAATGCAAAGATAAAGGAAGAAAATAGCACTAAAGAATTTATCAAGAAAATGGCATGAAATATAACAAGCCAAGTATAAAAGAGAAGATGGGATAAAAGAAAGCACATTAATTACCATGAAGGAAAGGCACCAAGTTTAACATATATCAGGAACATCACTACATATTTGATATAGAAAACTCAAAGATCGAAAGTCCCTACTGTGTATATTTGTGTGTGCGTGTGTGTGATACACAAACATAATAACGAACATACATATACTTGACTCGAATAGTCAAGCAGAGAATTAATCACCATTCAGAAAGTCAGCAATAATGAACTATCAGAAAACCATTCATGGTTGAAGAAACTTATTGTACATATGCAATTAACTTCCTATAGTAATTAAGTAAGAACCTAATTGAATACTTTTCAAGAAATCTCTAATCTCGTATGTTTATCTTCTCCATTTCTATAACC